TGTAGGTATTACAAGTAGACAAAACAAGAAGGTAGAAGAAGAGGAGAAGCTGTTGAAATTGTTCCAGGGGGTTAATAAAGCCCAGGATGGATTCACTCAGTGGTGTGAACAGATGCTTCATGCACTCAACACAGCCAACAACTTAGATGGTAAGCGGTGGGCAGGAATGTGAGAAGCAGTATCCAGTTTGTTTCTGACCAGGTAGTTCTGGGGCACTGTAATGACATCAAAGCACCATTTTGAGTGCAAAGTGACTTCATTAAATAGTGGCCTGAAGAACTGGCTGTGTCATCTTCTCCATGGTTTTCATTGTCCCAGCTACAACAAATCAGGGGATTGGAACAGTTTTAAAGTGCCACCCAGACCCTGCTGAGGGTTTCTGGTGGTCGTGGAAGCATCAGCAGAGATGAGGATCCAGTTTCATTGTGGATTGCATGGCAGGGCTTTATTGCCCTCACAGTAGGGAACTTGGAAGGGCAGGCTGTTTGCCGTGGCTGGATCAGCATATCCAACAGAAATCCGCAGAAATGACACAGAAATCCAAAGGGTGTGTTTCTTGCACGTGTGTGTTTGTATATCAACATGGATTCCCTCATGCTCTGCCTTCTTCTTGCAGTTCCCACGTTTGTTTCTTTCCTGAAGGAAGTGGAGTCTCCCTATGAGGTCCATGATTACATCAGAGCCTATCTTGGGGACACTCCTGAGGCCAAGGAGTTTGCCAAGCAGTTTCTTGAGCGCCGTGCCAAACAGAAAGCCAGTCAGCAGAGGCAACAGCAGCAGCAGCAGGTAAATCCCACTCCCTGCAGTCCTCAGGAGTGTGTGGAGAGTGTTGGAGTCTGGAGAGGCTGCATTCCTGCTGCACTGATGAGCAGCCTTTTGTAGGTCCTGTGAAATGCAGAGAATTAAGCAGATTTCAGATTTTTGTCCTTCATAACTCACAGTTGAGGCCAGCTGTGGATCAAACAGTGTCTTTGCCTGCTGACCCGGGAAATGCCGTGGAACCATGAGGTGGATGCAGCAATGTCTGGTGCTACCACAGGGGATGTAGGAAGTGCTTTGGGCTCTTTGAATGTTTTCTATATAAGTAAACCAACCTTAACTGTGCTTTACAGTCTTGCCCTGACTTTGTTTTGTAGGATTCAGTGTGGGGGATGAACCACAGTTCACTACATTCGGTCTTTCAGACCAACCAGAGCAACAACCAGCAATCCAATTTTGAGGCTGTGCAGGGCGGGAAGAAGAAGAAGAAACAGAAGATGGTTCGGGCAGATCCCAGCTTGTTAGGTCAGTCCTCCTCTTCAGAAATTAATGGTCAGTTTGGGAGTGGGAGTTTGCCTTGTGAAGTGTAGAATTCTTACTGATCTTGAGTGGCAACACTGAATTTGAGCCCAGTTGAGGCATCTTCAGAATTTGTTTCAATACTGTTATTATTTAATGATTTGAAAAATTCCGTACCAGTCTAATGGAAAGCTTTTGTCAAACTTTCCCTCATGTAAAGGCCTCTTTGATACCTTGATTATTACCTGGAAACCTTTAAGTAGTTCAGGGATGTCAGTTAAACTGCCTTTCCTCTTGTGAGTTGACCTGTGCCTATTTTATCGATTTAATGCTAATTCGTTCTTTGAAGAAGAGCACATTTTCTGTTCCTTCACGAGGAGCAGCTTCCTGAGGCTGCCTTTATGCCTTCCCACCCTTTTACAGGGGCTAACCACCCTAGGCAGAAAAGATGGCAAAGGTGGAATGGTCCCAGATTTTCAGTTGGAAGCAGATGATGACATCATTAGCAGTCCTTTATTTATTATGTTCTCTCTCTTAATTTTTATGTGCAGATGGTATTAACCAGCTGCTGTCACACTGATGGAAAGGTTTCTTTAAATTTAAGAATCAAGTCCCTGAGCACTCTGGGGTGTAGCTGATGTAGAATAAACGTGTCCATGTTTGTGCTCTCTGGGACAGAAGAAAACCAGGGCACTTGTGCTGGGGCTTCTTAGCCCACATTTATGTAAAGCAGCCTGGTATTACCCACCTGAAGTCACTGCTTTTTTTATCCTCTGGCAGAGCCCTGCCTTTGTTTTTTGTCCTTAGTTTTCACCAAAACCAATACTCTTCACCTGAATCAGTGATTTCTGCACTGATGAATACTGAACTTTTCAGTGGGATCCTGACTTCTACCACCCCAGTGAGTCTGATCTGGGGAGTCTGTTGGATATATTAACAAACCAACTCATGTAATGTCAAGAAGTCACTAAATGTAGAAGTTTCAACTGTAAGAGAAGTAGCACGTGCAGCTTTTTACAAATGAGTACACTCACTCACTTACAGAATACTTTCAAATCCTTGTAGGTAACACTGCCACGAGAGGGAACCAGAGTGATTTTCCTAAACCTACTGAACAGAGCATTTCTCATCTCTTGAAGATGAGACTGTGGAAAGCAGTTGGTTCTCTAGCACAGAGCAACCTGTGGGGCAGTCTCCAGACAATGAAATGTCAACTTTGTGTTTAGTAAAAACACAGGAAAACTGTCCCTTTTCTCATACTCCCTATGGGGTTTTTACAACCATAAAAATGGGATTTCAGGAGGACGGTTGCATACGATCTATTGGATATTTTCCTTGTTGAAAGTGCTTTCACTTTTTCTCATGTCCTGAGCACTTCATGGCTAAAAGGTTGGGTAGAGGTTTGGGTGCATTTGAGCCACCTGCATGGCCCTGTGTAACTTTACGTTTTCACGTGGTGTTCCAGAGATGGGGACTGTAAAAAAGCATTTCAAAGATTTCAGGTGCAAATATTTGGACTTTAGGTAAGGGGTAGAATTGCTCACACTCCCTGAAGTGCTGGGCACGGTTTCACATTTGGATTCCAAGTTCTCAGAAGGTCCCTTTCTGCCTCTCGGGCTGTGGCAGGAGGGTGTTGGCAGCCACTGCCCAGTGCCAGTTGACTTAAACGTGCTCCCGTCCGAGATGCTGCGGAGCCACGTGAGCACTGGTGTGTCTGATGCACTCGGTCTCGCACTGCTGCTGCACATCCAGACTTACCCCACCACACACAACATCCCCCAGGCAGGTGTTTAACCCCAGTCCTCTCTGGTTGCAGGGTTTTCAGTGAACGCCTCCTCAGAGCGGCTCAATATGGGAGAAATAGAGACTTTGGAAGACTACTGAGCATGTGCAAATCAACTGGCTTTTCCTACATCTGTTAACCATGGATTCTCCGTTTGGACACAGTGCTCTCCACCGTGTGTTGTTCTTCACCTCGCAGTGAATCACAGGATCAATCATCTCAGGCTGCTTCCTCTGGCCCCAGCAAACCCTTTGTGCCCAGGACTGCACAGGCGTCATTCCTCCTGTCAGCCCAGAGTCCCGTGGACTGCTCAGAGCCCTGGGAGGGTGGGAGTTAGGATTCCTTCACAACAAGGCTGATTTGGGCAGCGAGCTTTCACTGTGCTGTGATTCCTTCTGCTGACATACCTGGAAAAAAAAAAAATCAATTGGGATTCTGCAAACTATTGCTTCCCTCTCCTGGTTACTCTTACCACATCCAACATGTGCAGTCATATGGAGAGAGAGAGAGAGTGAGAGTTTGTGGTTAACAGATGTTGGTCCAAGCCCAGTGCCCCAACTCCTGCCTGGGCTGCCCCGGGGCGGGTGCTCTGGGCCAGGAGGGCACCATAAGCTAACGCAGAACTGGCGGCAGCACGAGAGGGGCGGTGGTGGGCGCAGTTTAGCTTGGGTTGGTTTGAAGTTGCACACCCCCTGCCAGCCCTTCTCAGCACATTATTTTTGGAGGGAAAGCTCGAGTCTGTCTTCATTAGGTGGTGATGCTGGAGCTGCTGGAGTTCCCCGTCGACGTACTCCAGCCTTCCTGGACAAGTGGGGACTTCTGCTCTGGGAAAAAAAAAGGGGGGTGGCATCTCTTCTTTCAGGTTGAATTTACCCCTTACATGCTACCTTCCGAGGGTTAGGACCAGTTTATTTTGAGCTCTTTTCCTGCAAATTTGTCTCGTTTAAGAGGCAGTGGGATGTTGACGTGTGGCTGTGTAGTCTCTGTGGAGGGTGGATGCTGGCTCTCAGACACGTGCCCAGCAGGCCCAGCTGGTTGTCATTTCAATGCTTAGGGAACGAGCAGAGGTGCCCTTTCGTCATGAGGAGAGACACTGGAGGACAAAGCTTTGTGCAATGACGGCCCTGCTTATCTTCTACACCTTAAACTACTTCATGCACCTTCACTGGGATCCATAATCTCTGAGTATTTATGGAATCATAACCTTCCTCTCTCACCGAAAGATTAACACCACCTTCCCTGCTCCACCTGCCCACCCACCCACATGCACACACCGCAAAGAAAGAGAAGGAGAACTGCCAAATGCACTTAGTTTGACCCCCTGGTCCCATCTCCCGTCCCCAGAGGGTTGTAACCTGCGAGGGAGATCCGCTGCAGTTTTGGTGGAGTTCTGTAAAGGTGTCTGTTGTTCTGTCATCACTGCCTAAAGAAAACAGTTCGAGTTGCTCAAGAGCAGTTTGGCTTTGGATTTTATTTCATTTGGTTTATTCATTTTTTGGGGTCACCTTCCCCTCCTCCTCTCTCTTCCCCCTGCCCCCAAACATGTACAGTAACTATACAGAGACTGCTGCAGACTTGTATATAGTTTTTGGATCCAATAGCATGGAGAGACTTGGAACTGTTGCAAATCTGGTCTCCCTGTCTCCTTTGCTTTGTAAATTCATAAAAGGGGGAAGAGGGGTAGTTAAAATGTTTACAAAACTTTAAACTCCCTCTGAACTTTTGCCAGTGTTGGGGGGGAAAAGAGAGAACTTAAATAAAACCTGGTTGTATTATATCTGAGAGAAAACTTTCTGCTTGCTTTTGTCAAAGCCGAGTTTTGAGATAATTCCTGGTGCTAAAACTCTACCCAAACTCGACTTGCCTTAGTTTTCATCAAGAAGCAACAAGTAAATGCACAGGATGTGGAACAACAACTGCTGCTTTATTTTTTCCCTGGTGAGGAATAACCGGTGGGTTTTTCTGCTTGATAATTTTAGAGTTCAAATAAACACCAGTAAGCTGAGATTGGAAACAAGAAAGCTTTAATTTCCCCTGCCCCCTTGTACAGAAACACATGAATTCATGCTCGTGTTGTTTGTGCAGGGGAGATCAAGCCGTGGTTCTCTCTCACTCCTTTGCAGTGGGTGACCACCCCAACCCACCCCCCTTCACTGCTGTCAATGAGAGGTTTGTCCACACAGACACCTTGTAGGTTTCTTTTTTCAGACTTAATTTTCCTTTTTTTCTACTTGCTGCTTATGTTTGTGTGGAAAATCCCAGTAAAAGGTAATGATAAATGTTCTCCTGCCGTTCCCATAACCACAAAAAGTTAAATGTGCTAAGGCCCAACTTACACAGTGCCTTGCATGATGTTTAGCTGATGTCTCAGAGAGAACAGGATGTGTTTAGGCTGATAACCTGACTTTGTTTTAATATCTTCTCTTTTTTTTAGCATATGAGGTGCCTGGTTAATGAGTACTTTCTGTTTTTTAATGGTATGATCTAATTTGTACAAGCCAGTTTTGGAGTGCTCTCTGCCATGTAACAAATGCACAAAAGCCCATTAATTTCCAGCTCAGGTGGGGGGCAGGGAAGGAGCAGCTCCTTGATTGCTGCATGAAACTGCAGAAATGCACGCAGGGGAAATGTGCAGTAGACCCTGAGGGTCTCACTCAGCCTCTGAGTTTGTCAGTAATGGACCAGTGGAAGATCTTGTTCTTAGTACTGAAATGTGCTGGTTTCTGTCTTTGGTACAAAGGGGAAGTGCTGGCATGTGCAGATTGTGTGACTGCCTTGTCACCTCCTGTGACAAGCACAGGACCTGTTTCTGCAGAGTTGTTTGGATCAGTAGGAGTGGGAAAAATAGGAGCTGTAGCATTTTACCTGCTGCTGGATGTATTTCTGTGCTTGGAGCTCCTTTGCAGACAGAACGTGATGGGGCTTTGCTCCAGGTTTCATGGGTGATGTTGAATTCGATGCTGGAGCTGTCTGAGGTTTCTTTTGAGCAGGATCCCCAGGTAACTGCCTCACTCCTTGTTCCACTGCAGGGACAGTACTCTGCTCTCTCTGGTTTTGAGGCTTCCCCTCTCAGCCAGGCACTTCTGCAAAGGCCTGCAACAAGCAGTGATTTAAAGGGACACCTCAACTGTGACTGACTGCCTGTCAGAGAAAGCCAAAAAACAAAGAGATCCCTTAGATCTCTACAGAAAAATCTGTATCTGAAATTTAACACAAAATACTTGTGTCATATTTTCAGACCATAAAGTACTGACATTGGGAGTGTTTGTGTACCTCATTACTTGAAGGGAAAACGTGGCATATTTAATCCTCAACAGTTCAAAAAAATCCTAATGAAATTCTTCCGTGACAGTAAGCTGGAGCATTCCCCTTTTTATACACTTCATCCTTCCCCCAGTCTCTGTTGGTGCAAATGTGATTTGAAACAAGCCTGTTTTCTGTGGTGTGACCTTCCCACGAGCCCCCAGGCGGGCAGGGACGATGGCAGAGCTGGCAGGAGCGGTGTCTGTGCACTTGGGATCCCAGGAGGATGCTGGCCCTGCCCTCCAGAGCCGACTCTCCTGCAGGACTTCCCAGCGCTTACCGGGCAGTGGAGACCACCCACGGCTCCCAGTCCACCTCTGTAAGTATTCCACCCAGAACTGGATGCCACAGGGCTGCTCTGGCTGTCAGAACCTTTTAGCTCTGATTAAGGCCCTTGTTTGCTGTGCCCACCCTGCAGCAGCTGCCCGGCGAGGGCAGAGCAGAGCCCTCCGTGCTGGGGCTGCGGGCTTTGGGCTGGGCTACCCCAATGGCTCCTGTGTTATTCCCGTGCCTAGGGAAGGCATTCCAGGAGCATCCCCGTGGCCTCTGGGAAGGGCTCACCAACAACTGCTCTGTGTGCACTGGGCTGGCAGGGGCCGCTGCCTGAGGCTGGGCTGCTGTGGGCTTTAGGCACAGGTTTGGGAGGGTGGAGCTGCCTTCGGGAGGAGCTGCGCTCCTGGAGCCAGAGCGAGGGAGGCTCTGCTGGGCTTTGCACTCTCTCTACACACTTGCCGTTGTGAAGGGAATTATTTTTTTATCTGTCTGGACAAGATTTTTCTTATAGCAGTGACAGTCCCACATTGTCTCATACTTTGAAGAGTTTTAAGGATTCCTGCCGAGGCTGTTCCTGAGGGAAGCCATGCCCTGCCACAGAACCCTTCGCCTGGTCCTGCTAACGCTGTGTGGCATCCTGGTCCCTGCTGTGCTGGCAGGTAAGGAGCTTTCTTTGCATGTAAAGCCCAGAAGTGTGGAAGATCCTTTACTATGATGATGCTTCTCTCTCCTCTCACTTCCCTGTAAATATAAGTATGTGTTGAATTATAATTGATTAATGGAAACCAGCTTTGGAATTGGTGGCTGGTGGTGAGTAAGATTATATTTTCCATCCCAAACTCAAGTTTCTGTTGGGGAAAATGGAGAAAATTCTTTGTAACTTTTCCTAAGCAGAACAGCAGTAGCACATATGTGAGCGTAAGTGGCTGGAGATCAGTGGACTCATCAGGCACAGGAGGTGGAAAACCTCCCAGCAGCTGAGGCGACAGGCTGTCCGTCAGCTTTTAATGGCAGGAAGAAGTTACAGTTGTGAAAAGAAATAGGTTTTTGTGGCTAAAGCATGTGGGGCTATTCCTGGTTCCCTTCTGCACTCTGCTACAGCAAGGAACTCCCCCACAGCTGCTGCTGGCAGAAACAGGGAAGTGTCCACGAAAACCTCCATGCAAAGCCAAACTCTGCACCCTCAGGGGGTCTGTGCAGAGCTGGGGGTCCCGAGGCAGCGCTGGGAAGGCTCTGCCCTGTGTTCAGTGAGGGATGGGAATCAGAACAGGTGAGATGCCTGTTCTCTAAGGCACCATTTTGAGGGAATCCTCAGTAATTTCAGCCCTACGTGCCCTGCCCTTGGCACAGTGTGCTGGCTGCAGGGAGCACAGGCAGCCCCGCAGGGCTCAGGAGGGTTTTACAGGCGAGGGAAAAGGGGCTTCCAAAGCCATTGTATTGACGGGCTCTGAGAGTATAGATGGAAACTCCTGTGGGGAACTGCTTCCCTCAAAACCTTTTTTCCAGTGGAGGTGAGGCTGAAGGGGTGGCTGGGGCCAGGATAACAGGCAGGAGCACGGCGTTTGTTTTCCTGAATTCCTGTCCTGCCTCCCTGGAGCAAGGCTGGTTTGCAGTTCCCTCCCGGTTTGTTCCGAGCATCTTGCCTAGCAGGGAGATCCTGGCCAGCTGCTTAGCAGATGAAATTATGAAATCACTTCTTTTTAAAGGGGCTTTCATAGGGGTAGGAGAACTCAGTGCTGTGCCTGGCTGGAACACCTGTGGGTTCAGGAACAGAATTCCTGCAGCTGGTATCCTCCCCGTGGAGGACACCTTCCTGCTGGGAAACTTGTCAAGTAACTAAGAAACAAGCACTAAAAAGTGGGTACTTTCCTTCTCAAACCCTCAGCTGTTTTGTACAGTGGAACATTAATCACTTTAGCACGCTTTCAGTTTGTGCCTTGCTCTTGCTCCCAGAAGCAGTGACCGTGCTCTTGCCCTGCACCAGGTAAGATCTTCATCATTAACAGTGTTTCATTCTGCAGGAAGTGATTCATTTGCAGTGAGAATTCAGTCTGTTTCTTCTCTGAGCTCAGATTTCTTCTATGCTGTTTAAATTTCCAGTATTTGGTGCATATTTGCTCTGCCTCCCTCCTTGCCAGCTTTCCCATGGGCCTGCTCTGGCAGTGCCCCGTCGCTGCCTCCCTGTGTCACTTTTTGTGACTCCCACTGTCACTGTGTTCCCATGAGATACCCCCAGGTTTCCTTGATCTCTTTACTGGATGAGTTGTGCTCATGCAGCAAGGCCAGTACTCTTGAAGGGCTTTGTGCTGGTGAATGTTCAGATCCTGGCATGTAGGACAGACTTCGTGCCTTCTCTATTTAGGCCTCTACCAAGTTGTTCCCTGCTGCCTCAAAGAGGACATGAGGGAACCAGTGTGGATGGGAAGCCATCCCAGGAGCAGAATGACTCTCTGCTGCATTAGGCATGGAGAGTTCCTGCCCCAGTACCGGAGCTTTTAGCACACAGTGGAATTCTTTCTGCCTTTTACTCCATTAGAAAAGGAAATTTCCTGCCTGGTGCAGACAAAGAGGGGAAGGGCACAGACAGCCCCCTGCTCTGAGCACATCCACACGTGGCCCTGCCCCTCTGTAAACAAGTTTACTCCCTGTTCTTCAGGACCGCAGTGCTCCCTGTGGCTCCGTGTGCTCCCCACCGGAGCTGCGGCGCTGCCCGGCACAGATGCCCTTTGTGCTCCCAGTGAAGGCCTCTTTTCATCCCTGCCCTGGCCCCGTGCCCACCGTGACCACCTGGGGCTGGACAGCCCGGCGCTGTCCTCAGAGTTCACCGACCCTGCCCTCCATCTCAGCACCTCTAACTGCACAGCAGAGCCCTCCCCTGCCCTGGACAGGCTGCAGCTGGTGCTGGCCATTCTATCAGCAAACCCAGTGTCAATTCCTGTCATAGATTCAGAGCTCCAGGTGAAGTGGAAATGAGTAAAAAGCCTGTGCAAGGTGTGGGCTCCTGAATCGTGTACACATTTGCTATCTGAATTCACACGCGGACTCCTGAGTTTCTTTGGTTTGAGCTACTGTGCAGATGTGTTGTACTGTGGGGGCACATCGGGAGTTTGTGGGGAAAAGCAGCGGGGCAGATGTGCTAAAGGAAAACAAACAGGGCGGTGGCCTTGACCAGGGATATCTCTGTAAGAGCTGGTGTGTCCTCATTCTCAGCTATAGGAAACTAAAAGGTTATTAGGAAGTTTTTAAAGCTCAAGTACTAGAACATGAGTAGCAGTAAATAGGTTTTGTCAGGGAAGTTTCTGGAGAAGATGTGGTTCAGACTTACAGCAGGACTTTGTTGGCCATTACTCAGCCTTGCTCTGTACCAGCACTCCTTGTCAATTACTGATGCTACCATTGACTCCTGACTGAGGTTGCTGGGTTGGAAGTGGGGAGTGAGGATGACAAGGTGCTGAAACCAGCTGGTGTGAGCAAGAGCTCTGGTCACTGGTGAGCGATGTCGGGAATGAAGATGTGAAGTGGCCACATCTGCCAACCCTGAGGTCTTGCAGTCTGCCTGTCTGGGAGGGTCTGGCTCCCTCATGTTTGGTTGGCTTCCTCAAGACCTGCCACTTGTGGAGACTCTTCCAGTCGTACCTTTGTCACTGAGTACCTGGGGCACTGGCCACCGTGTCACTGTGCTGGCAGCTCACCTCACCTTCTTCTCTCTGAACGTGGAAACAGCAGTTTGGTGTCATCCCCTCTGGATCTCTCTCCAGCCCACGTGGCTGGAGTCCCCCTGGGTCCCTGCATCCTCAGAAATCTTATGGTGGATTTCTTTACAGAAACTCTGGGATTTTCCTCCCGTTTCCTGGTCTAACATCAGTTAGTTGTAACTAACCTGTACTGGAGAGAGGGAGAGGACACAGTGCAGCAGAGAGATTGCCCTAAAATAAGACAATTTGCAGTGTCAGTGTATGGGAAGGTGGAACTGCCATCATCCACCTGGCATACTGGAATACTTTTAGTATAGTTTCTAGTATAGTAGTAGTATTCCAGTAATTCCGGTATTACTTCTAGTCCATTTTGTCCAGTTCCATCTCTGCCCAGTAAAACATCAGTAAGATTATCATATGGCTTTCTCCTGAGTGTTCTACAACTGTTTTTTTTTCACAAAGAGGGTTTCACTGTTAGTCTGGGGAGAAGAAGTTGCCCTCAGGCTGTGCCCTAGTGCTGAGACAGGGCTGATGCTGGGGAATAACACTGTGCCTGGACTCGAGGTTTGTCCCTCAGAACACCCAGCACTGAGGCACGAAGCCTCGGCAGTGTGGGGTTACCTGCGTGCAGCAGCAGCCTGAGAGCCCCTCCATCCACCCCCCTGCTGAGTCACTGTGGGGCAGACAGACCATGGGAGTGCCAGGTGGGTTTTTCTAGGGGTAGGACTGATGACAGCACAGCTGATGTATGGCTCTCACCCACAGGTTAAACGTCTGGTCTTATGTTGGAGGATGTATTTTGAGCATGTTTCTTGCTAGTTCTTTGTAGAAATAAAGTTCTTGGCTGTGCAGGAAAGCCATGTGCTACCTTGCCTTCCATATCTGTTTTCCAACTCTTGGCTGCACCCCCTCACCGGAGATGGCAATGTGTTTGGGTGTTCTCACACGTCAGAAATGCTGTTCCCTGCCTCCAGGGCTGTGCAGCTGCCCTGTACCTTTCCCTTTCCCTGTGCAGGGCTTCTGCTGGGTTGGAGCTGTCCTGCAGGTGTTTGCTCAGTCACAGACATGTCCCCCTGCTCACCCTCAAGGTGACAGTAACTGTGTGGGTGCTCAGGCCTGGCTGTATTGGTGCTGCTTTCCCTGTAGATGGTGTTTAGAGTCCTGGTCTCCTGCTTGTGCAGAGAGAAGCTGAGCCCAGGAGGAGGAGAGGGACTTGTGGTGGTCCCCCAGAACACAGGCAACAGGCAGAGAACTGAACTTCCTCACTTGGATCCTACACCTGCACTTGGAGCCTGCCCAGCCTCCATCCAACAGGCGACCAGAAGAGGCCCTGATATCTCACTTGGAGACATGTGAGATCTTACTAAATGTGTATGGTGGGTTTTGGCACCTGACACAAGCTCTGTCCTTCCCCCTTGCCTTTCTTGCTTTTCCCAAGAACTGGAGAGGGAGTGTGGCATTTACTGGGGCTCTGTTAGAGATCCGCTGCTCCCAGCCAGTGGCAGCAGGGCTGACACTCACTGGGACTGTTAGGGAGAAGATGTGACACCTCTGCTTGGTAGAGAAACCCCCTGGATGCATGAGGGTGATTGGATGGGTGCTTGGACTTCTCAGCCACGCGGGAGTGGAGGCACATGAGGACACGAGCTGTTGGTTTAGGAGGGAAGATCAAAGGTGAGCCATGGAAAAGGTGCTGGCCACGAGCAGGTGCTCTGCCAGGCTGCAGCAGTCGGCTCTGGAGGGACCTGCCTGCTGGCAGTGTGCTCTGGGGGTGGGTTTTGTGTTCCCCCAGCAGCAGCGAGGGGCAGGAACCGAGGAGGGGACCAGCCCTGGCTCCCGTGACATTCACTTGTGGGTATTTCCCTTCATGCCTGTGCACGACTTTGCTGCTGCCTCTGAGCTGACAACCCCATTTGTGAGGCAGCAGAGCCAACTGAAAGGGGTTGTGTTTCCCTCGGCTGAAGCACCGTTAAGGTAAAACCACAAGAACTCGGACAGAAAATGCAGGGTTGGCACACTCTGCCCCTTCTGAGCCGGGGAACTGAAAGCATCAGATGAGGGGAGTTAACCAAGTACATATCCAGCAGCATCCAGGTCTTGAAAAAATCACAGAGATCATAAACAAAACAAACCTGTTTCCTCTGTATACTGGGCTATCAAAAATAAGCTCTTTGTCCTGCTTAAAGAGAACTGCAATAGATTTCCAGGAATTAGATGCATTCTAAGAGGAGACAGGAGAGGCTTTCTGGGACCTGTGGGTCTGGTTAGATAAAGAATCTTTGCACTCTGGCTGGAAGGGGTAGTGCTCCCTCCTTACCCCTTTGAGAGCTGGCAAGACCCTGTCCAGATCCTGTAGACCCCTGGATGGTGCTGCATCTGTTACAGATTATCAGAGCTCATGCCTGGCCCTGGGCAGATGTGAGGGACATGCCCAGCTCTGGAGAGAAAAAACATTCTTGGGAAAGGCAGCAATGCCGTCCTCCCAGCACAGTGTTCCTCTTCCAGCTGGGGACAGTGTCGGTGCTGGTGCTGGCCCCAGGGTTGTTGACACAGTCAGCAAGGTCACAGCTGGAGCATGGCTTTTCTGTGTGGGATTTCTCCCCTTGCAAAAGCAGCCTGGAACCAGGGCTTCAAAACTGTGCCTTACGTTTGGCCTGTTCCTAAACCAACAGCTTCTCCACGCCACTGTTGCCAACTAATTAGCCCAGCTCTGCTCAGTTCCTCTCCCTGTTGTTTTAACTACCTTTACTCACTGAATTCTGTATTTCCTCCTGCTCCATCCTCTGGTAGTGAACCACAGGATTTATAGAAGAGAGCTCCACTGGAAATGACACTTTCTGGAAGAGCCTCTGGATGGGATGTGAGTCTCTAGCTCTGCTGGTTGGTTTTGCAGCACAGGTTGGGAAGGACCCTGCAAAGGGCTCAGGTGTTTCAGGGGAGCTCTTGTGGAACACAAAACTCTGTGTGCTTGTCTGGGGGAGCTGAGCTCACCCCTTTGGTGCAGTGAGCACAGATGGAGCGGGTGTGTGAGGACATGAGCACAGGGGGACTGCTACAGCCGCTGCTCCCCGGGGGACAGCCAGCCAGAGTGTGCTGGGGGCCCTGCCTGGCCTAACCGGCACAGCCCACACGATGGGGACTTGCTTGTCTCTGTCCATGCTCAGTGGGCCGGGGTTAAACCTGGTAGCTGCTTCACTGAACATCCTGTAGCCTTTCTGGCTGTTGAAAGGGCTTCCAAAACTAGTTTAGAATATTATTGTGTCCCCAAGACTGTGGGCAGCCTGGAATAGCTCTGGGGATGGGGGGAGCTACTCTCTGAGGCAAGCCCTGCAGTCATTTCTCAGTGGGTTTGTCTAGGAAAAAAAGGGGAGTGTTTTGGTGCTCCTGTTCCTCTGGATACAGGGCTCCTACGGGAGAACAGTGTGTGGTGGAGCCCATTAATGACAATTCTTCCTGCTTTACAGGAGGCAAGGAATGCTCCAGGTACTGAGACCTGGGGCTGGCACTGTCAGGATGTGCTGCTGCCATCTCTCTTTCCAGGCCATGGAGAGCCTGGGACACCAGGGGTTCACATGCCAGAGCTGGGGTACCTTGCCCCAGGGAGCCTGGGTTGCTTGTTCCAGCTCCTCTGACTCCCTCTGTGCTAGTTGTGATAACCATTGTGTCAGTTCAGGTGGGCCGTGGTTCTGGATGTTCGTTCTTCCCCCGCCAGTATTTTTTCCCCATCCCAGTGCAACATTCCCAGCGGTTTCGGCAGGGAGCTGTGGAATGTCTCCTGCTCCCGCCAGGGCCCATCCGAACAAGCTGGGCTTTGACAAGGAGCGCTGGGCTGAGCCACACACAGACAGGGAGGGCTCTCTGCCTTGGGCCCTGACCCACGGGGGGAAGGAATAACAGGAGATCAGTGGTAACATCAGAGCCTGGCCCGGCTTTCATCTCCCTGACGTGAGAGAGGGAAGTTGAGGCTCTGGGGTCCAGTCTGGGGAGCCGTGTCCTGCGCTGTGCCAGCACCTCTGGCATCCTGCACTGCATGGACTGGGAGTGCAGGACAGAAAGGTCCTGAAATGCTGGGAATTTGGCCAGCACAGGTAGCCAGGTGGTCTCTGCCTGCTGCAGACATGTGACAGCCCCTCCCAGCCCAGTCCTATGGGTATCCACAAGCAAAAGGGCTGTGGATGTTCATGGGGCCTCTTTGTGGGTAAGCAAAGGTTGCACAGTCCGGGGAGCTCCCTGTTGTCCCGTGTGTGCTGTGTGTACACCAAAAGCCTGTGGCAGTGGTATCACCCCGGGGCTGCTCTGGGGGTGGGTGTTGAGTAGAGGTGGTGCCCTCTACAGAGAGGGCTGTGCCCCACTGGGTTTCTCAGCCCTCAGGTCACCCTGCACCCACCCCAGGGGCACCTGGCAGGCAGCTGGAGCCCAGGGACCTGCTGAGCTGTGGTTGTCAGCTGCCTGACTTGGCCCCCATGCCCACGGGTGCTTGTCTCCCAGCAGAGTACCCACAGGGCCCGGTCCCCACCTTGTGGAATGAGCCGCCCGAGCTGCCCTCCGGAGCCGGTCCCTTCGATGCTGCCACCACCACTGCCCGGCTGTCGGACACCACCGCCTTCCCCCTGTACACCTCGGAACTGGAGCCTGAGGACACCACCCACCTACACCGACTGGACACCGGGGACGGTACGGGGCTGCACTGCAGGCCACCCGCGGCTCACCCCCACGGGGCCTGGGGTGTCACTGTGGATTGGCTCTCTGCGGGCCTGTCACCTCCCAGGAGGTGCTGAAGCCACCAGAGGTGGCCTGTCCCCAGCCACACTGGTAGGGAGGGGAAGGGTTGCCTATATCTCCTGCTCAGGGGAACTTCCCTGCTGAAAAGCCTGCACTGTGGAGCACTGGCCACCCCCAGAGCTGCTCCAAGACCTTTCCTCTTGCCTCACATCTGACCTGTCATGGCAGGCACCTGCAGAAAGTGCGCTGAGCACAGGCAAGGCTCTCCAGAGCAGAATGTGCCTGGAGCTCCCTAAGCAGGGAGTGAGCACTTTTCCCGGCTCCTGACTGACAGCAAAAGCCTCTTGGGATGCAGATTTGCCAGGGGCAAAGGAGCTCTCAGTATGGGTGTTAACAGGATAGCTCCGTGCCACAGACCTGCGTTGTGGCAGCTGTCCCTGGGACCTGGCTGAGGTGGCAGTGGCTGACTGCAGCCCCTGCCCAAAGCTGCAATGCTGCTGGGGCGCAGGACCACACCTCTGCTACCTGGGGACATGGGACATCCACCCTGGCCAGTGCATGAGCTCCGGGGCAGGAGTGGGACCCAATGGCTGGGGACATGCTGCGTAGGGGGTGATCCCTGCCGCCCTTCCCACCTGGGGCCCCTGGCTCTGCTGACCTCACACCTTGGTTTCTGTCCCTGCAGGCTCACTGGGGCCTGGAGCTATCGGTGCCATTGTCATCGCCTCCCTCTTGGGGACGTCTGTGCTCGTGGCGTTGGTCATCATCACTCTGAGAAAGTTCTCGGCCTCCTGAACTCAATAAAAGATTTTTCTGTTACACAACCAGCCCATCTCCTGCTCCCTCTGTGCCTGGGACCCTGGAGAAACGCTGCCTCAGGTACAGCAAAGAGCACTCCAGGCCCTCTGTGGAGCAGCCAGGTTGCACCTGAGTGCTCTTTGCTCTTAGTGTGCATATCTCCTGGATGCACCCAGACCTGGCAGGCTTCACCCCCCTGGTCACAAAGGACTTGTGGCAGTGTGTGGCTTGAAGTTCAAGGGGGGCCTGCTGGGTCCAGCCTGGTGATGATAACAGTGTGGGGCATCCCTCTGCACAGCTTTCCTGGGAAGGGTTGTTCACTGGCATAAACTACCCCACGTTCATGTGTTCAACCCCACTTCCACCCGCTGCATTTGGGCCAGTTGCTCTCCACCCCTTGCACTGGAGGAGGTGAGTGATCAGTGAGGGGGAGGAAGGACACACACACGAGCTGTTTTGGCGCTGGCTTGCTCAGCTACATTTCATCACACGGAAAAACGAGACAAGAAGAAGTTCCCCTTAGTTTGCTGAGGCAGCCTGGCAGGGGTCAGGGGGCTCCAGCCCCTGCTTGGGGGCTGCAGGCCTGGCCCTGGACAACACTGGAGACCACTGAAACGGGGGCGTGCAGGGCTGGGGCTGAGGAAGTAACACTGGATGCCACTTGGTGCCTGAAACGGCACAGCCTGGGCCCGGGGCCTGGAGTCCTACACAGTCACAGCAGAGCAGGAGGGGTGGAACAGTCCCAGGGCTTGGCGGTGGGATAGGGCACAGCAACCCTGCTCCCTGGGGAAATCCAGTGAGGACCTGCTGTCCTGGCACTGGGGAACTAGTGAAACAGCTGCTTCTCATCGATGGTAATCAAGCCTTTGTGTGCTGTGAGAAACACCCCAGGCAGGCATGTTGGGCTGCAGTGCCTCGGCTGGACTGGCTGCTGGGCTGCAAAGCTGGAGGTGCGTTGTGGTGACTTCTCAGGTAATTTTAACAGCTTCCTTGATCTGGAACTCCCTGGGCGTTTTCACTTGTAAATTTGTGGCTGCTGCAAGGTCTGGACCCTGAGCCGGAGGTTTAGTTGTCTCAGAAAGCTGACTGTGGGGTGCCAGAAAGATGGCTTGGGGTGTCCCCATTAAATCAGCCCCCTGCACCAGACTGGAGGCTGCAGGTCTTTCCTGGCCCCTGCTCTGGGCTGGGCACCGGATGGTGACCTGGAGCCTCTGGCTGGTGCAAGCTGCCCAGGGGCCCTCTGCCGGGGTCCACGGTGGCTGGGGCAGCACTACCCTGCTGGCTAACACATCCTAATGTGTTGACACTAAGCTGGACCTGAGCAGCCAATGCCTTCTCTCCCTCTTCACAGTTGTGGCTCCCACCACTTTGGTCCTGGGGGCTGGCTCTGAGCTGGCTGTACCAGGGCTGTGGTGACAGTAGAGCAAGCCGCAAGGACAGCCCTGGCCCCCCTCTCAGCTGTGTCTGGCCTCATGCTGCACACCCCATGTCTAATCTGGGCCCCACATGGTTCAAAGACCAGCTCAGGATCCTCCCTTCAGCACCTTCCCAGCATCCTGTTTCCTCCTCACGCTGCTGCTGGCACAGTGGTGCCTCTCCCCTCTGTGCAGGTGGCTGGTGTGTGGCTCCACGGGCAGGCAGCTGCTCTCCATCCCCTCCCTGAGCACGACCGTGGCACTGCCAGAGCATCCACCACCACAGGCCACAGTGCCTGGAAGACAGTCCTTTGCAGAGTTCCAGAACGATCCCAAATACTTGATTTTCCCGGTGGATGCTGACCCAGCTTGGGACCAGCCTGCAGCTCCGAGGCTCTCGACTGCAGCCGTGTGGGACTGCTGAACAGCAGGCAGGTGCCGTGGCTCTGTCCTGTGCCCTGGCTGCTCTCAGTGCTGCGCCCTGGGCTTCATGCGACGTTCAGTGCCACAGCTGGCAGGAGGGGTGGCTGTGCTGGGGCAGGGTTTGGGTGTGTACACAGAGGGGGTCCTGTACAGCGGGGCTGGGGGTTACAAGCATGCAGGCAGCGATGGCTGGGCCTCCCACAGCTCGTGGGACAGCAGCTCCTGGGTCAGGGCACTCCCTGCTGTGGGGCAGCCCGGCTGTGCTCCCGTGGGTTGTGGTGCTGTGCAGGGAGGCGCTGGCGTGGCCGCCCTGCGCCGGCCTTGCAGGGAGCAGCAAAGACCACGAGTGCCAGGTCAGCTGGGAAAGGCCACGGTGGCTGGGCCTGTGGCTTCTGCAGAGGGAGGGCTGGGCAAGAGGGGCTGAGCCTTGTGGCAGGGCCCAGGTGTGCTTCCCGGCCACCAGGCAGGTACACGGGTAGATTGGGGCTGGCGAGGCTGGGCTGCTGGTGGAGCAGAGCTGGGTGTGGAAGCAGATTGAGGGTCTGCCTGTGGGAATAGGTCCAGCAGCTTCTCAGCAGGACTGGAGAAGTGGAGGTCCTGGAGCTCATCCCAGCTTGTTGCCAATGGGCTCTGAGAGGCAGCGAGACAGCTCCTTGGCTGCAGTTCCTACCCCTGAGAGAGGCTGTGCCCAGAGCACCCCAGACTCAGAAGGGAGCAATGAGCTGTGAGTGCTCAGTGATGTTGGTGGCCACGTGCCTTTCCTAAATGGCCTGAGCCAGCCTCAGCCAGCACATGTGCAACAAATGGGGCTTATCTGGCTGGCACCTGGTGGCCTTCGGGCAGTGTCCACGGGGCTCATGCTCTCTGGGACTTTACAGAACACCTGGAAAAGGGTTATTTTACAGTTTAGAGTACTGATCTCTAGGAAAGGATCAGTGCAGGGCGGGGGCCAGGAACGACAGTCAGGTTGTTCATGGGTGTGTGTGCCTTGTCCGGTGCAGCAGGTCCTCCACCATGTCCCACAGCTGCCACCTCTTCCCAGCTGGCAGCCTCTGTCTCCTGCCCCTCTCCCAGAGGCACTCCAGATGCTCGGGAATGCTGCCGGTCACTGGCGGTTTCTGCTGCCCAGTTTCCTTCTCTGACTGTCATCTGACTTGTGCACCCGGAAACACTCCTTCAGGTTCTGGGCTCGGATTTTGGGGTTCAGGATCTCTTCCCCCATAGAACTGGGGAACCAGCCTCTCTCCTGGTCATGAAGACGCTCCCCAAATATCCAGCCTGAGTAGAGACAGAGACAGGCATAAGCGTGGAAGGCCCTTGCTCCTGCACTGGGACTGTTGTGCTGGAAAGAGCCCACGGAGGTGACAGAGCTCTCTGGAAGTTACTCAGAGGCCTGTGCTGGAGCAGACCCAGTCTGTCCATCCAGCAGGTAGTGCCTGAGCAGCACTGTGTGTGGACAACTGGCTCGAGGGATGCCAGCAGAAAGCAGGCACTGCTGCCACTGAGTACCCTCTGCTGCCCCTGAAGCCACAGGAGTGGTTCCCAGCAGAGACCCAACATGACAGACCACCAGCTACGAGGGTGTTCCAGACAGCAGGACTGGGTGGCTGTGAAGCATCCTGAAGGTAAGAACAGCTCTGGGATACATCTGGGGTAGCTGTGCCAGCCCCACCATGGCCCACAGCTGGTGCCAGGGTGGCTGTGCCAGTATTGCCACAGCTTAGGGCAAGCCTGGATTGTCTGAGTGTTAGAAGGCAGTAACTCCCTTCTCCTGCTGTGACCTCCCTCAGCTGTGATGCCAGTGTCAGGGTCTCTCCCTGGCTGAAGGGAGACTCACAGCTGCCTGCCCCGAGCAAAGCCCACCCCTGCACAGGGACTCCCAGCCCGTCCCCACCCTGTCCCCCATATACCATCATCTGTCTTGTCCAGGATGTTGAGGACATCAGCCAGTTCCAGGGACAGCTCATCGGGCTGCTGGGCCACGTACGGGTGGACACACTGGATCTGTGGGCAGTCTGCCAAGGAACAGGGCACAGTGAGGGATGACTGGGGTGGAGCCCACGGCAGGACAGCACGGCTCGGGGGGTGGAGCACCGCCAGCTCTGTGCATGGTCCTCTGACCTGGGAAGGAACCCTGGGGAGGCCAGAGGGTGCCCCAGCCACAGGGACCAGTGCAGCAACTGTGTGGGAAGGGAGCTGGGTGCACATCACCACCACAGTGCCAGCCACGAGCAGCCTGGGTGGGAGGGAGAGTGGTGGTGCAGCCCAGCCTGGGTTGGGCAGGGGGGCAAGGTCAGGGCCAGGCCTAGAGACAAGCAGGTATTGATGGTGGAAACACAAGGGGAGCCCAGGGAGAGGGTTCAGCTTTGGCAGAGGCCTCAGGTATGTGGCTGGACTGAGATCAGGCAGAATAAGGCACCCTGGGTAGGGGTGAAGAGCTCCTGGCTCCCATGTTGTGTCTCTTACCAACAAGTCTGGAGGTAAATGAAACGAACTTGGTTCTCCGGTTCGGGGCCAGTGAAATCATCCAGCGTTTCATTTCACTCCTGGATAGGGCAGACAAACCAAGGCTGTGAGCATGAGACAGCTGTAGGTCCTCCAGCTCTTCTGCTCAACCAGCCCCAGACTCTGAATTCCTCCTCCCAGCCTTTTCCTGCCTGCCCCTCAGGGGTCCCGGACTCAGTGGTGATGCTGAGCCCCACTCTTGCACACCCTGGTTGGGATGTCACACGTGGCACAGTGCTCTGGGCCCCTCTGCACAGCCCTGGCTGTCCCCACAGGCAGCAGTGTCCCCCTCTGGGGAGCAGCACTGCTGCTTGGAGCACAGTGGGGTGGGGGCTTGGCGTTCTCTGAGATCTAACAAGCAAAAGCAGCTCTGGCTGGGCTGGTCAACAGGGGCAGTTTTTCCTGGAGATAACAGGACAGGAACCATTTATTCCCGCAGCTGCTGTGCAGGAACATTTAAAGGGCAGAGCTGATTAATTCCCTTGCAGACAAATGCTGCAGCTCACTCAGCAGGGGATGAGACAGACCCATGTGAAGGCATCACCAGATCCAGCACACTGCAGAACCTTGGTCTGCAGCAGGAGGGTGAGATCTCACAGGTGCTGGAGAAACCCCTCGAGGCTTCCCTCAACCCCACTTGGAAATGGGGCAGTTTGTTTTCACAGGCTCCAGTTCCTGCCTGGAGGCCCAGCTGTGCTCCTGGCTTCGAGGGAGCCAGAACTTTCTACCTCCTTAGGTGGTTTTAAAGCCTGAATTTGACACACATCTAAAGCCACTGGAGTGTCTTCTGGGAGGAGAGGGGCCTGAAAGGGAGGCATAAAGGACAAGTGCTGGCAGGTTGATCTGTGGGGCTGGGATTACCTCATGCTTCAGGGCTGAAGCACAATGCCAAGGACCAGTGGAAACACCTTCCTGGTGTGATGAAGATGTGTGGGATGAGGGCCTTGTGCATGGAGGAGCTGCCATGTAGAGACTAACCCAGGGGCTTGCCATGTCTGTCTACAGGCTGGCCTTG